CAATTTTGTCCTAACGATAGATTATTGCCGAGAATATATAAATATGAAATGGCAATTCAGTTATTCAGAATTTCAGAGATATATTCTGGTCCCACAAATTACGTTTTAGTTTGGCTTTGTGGCCCAGTTTCGGGTCAACTATGTTTCAACCATATGGTTTCAACCTTTGAAAGTGGAAGCACTGCTTAGAACCACTGAGCTGTATAATAACTGGAGGACCTGCTCCTATACTCCGATACTTTCAAGATGGCGGCTTCACACGTGTTCAGCGAAGCTAACGATTTTTGCTAAATATTTTCTTGATTTTTATGGTAGAGAACCGCTAGACAAACCGTGAATCGTTTTCTAAACTCCAAAGGCACACTTGGATCTACTTTTCTTAGTAAAACAAAAAGGAAAACAGGATTTATTTTTAAATTTTGATCGAGCGCATTACCGACAAAGCAAAATAACATGGACGCTATTACATTCAAACGTGAACGATACGAGATAAAGAGCTTCACCACGAATAACTACAAGAAAGTTCCACACGAAGAGCTGGATTTTGGAATATACAAAAAACCCAATCTTGTAGCATTTCAGACGACAGAGTTAAGGCTTCCTCTATGGATTGAAGCCGTATACCATCGATACTATCGAAACGAAATCTTCAACGACATAAACAACGAACTTGAGACAAAATGGACAGAGCAAAACGACGCAAGCAACACATCAAAATGCGAAGAAATCTCGATTGAAATCCTTCACAAAAACGAAAACGTATTAACAATCACAATCTTTGTAACCAAAGGAAGAATTCAAATACAAGGCCGGTTCACGAAAGCCTGGGGAATCGACGAATTCGACCACGTACGTGCCATTGTAAACAATGATGAGGAAGCCAACGAAAACACTAAGGTATTCTCAAACAGAATCTGGATCTAAGGCCGCAGGTTCGAATCTCGATGAGGACTTCTCATTGCGACTGGAACCCAGTCCTAATGTGAAAAGAGTATGTCAACGCCCTGCCGAAAGTCGTGGGTTTTCTCCGGGCACTCCGTGTTTCCTCCCACAGGGAAAGTTGACAGGGTGGGTTAGGCACATAACTATGTAAATGCACGACCACATCAGCTATGCTGCGAATTTAATCGTGTTGAAATAAAT